GACCTGGATCTCACACAGTAAACAAAATCAATTCAAATGTATCCAAGCAGTGAACATAAATCCTGAAGTTTAGAAACTGTTAGAGGGAAGATAAAGGGAAAACACTGAACATAGGCAAGGACTTTCAGAAAATTCATCCAAGAAGACAAGACGCAGTCCCCCAAACTGACAAATATGATTGCATAAACTTGAGAAGCTTCTGTTCACCAAAGAAAACCATTAGCAAAGTGAGGAGACAGTCTACCAAATGAGAAAAAAATGCTTTCTAACAGTGTTAAGACAGGAAATTAGCATCCAGAATTGAAAAGAACTATAAATATCAAATGCCAAAAAACAAATGACAAGTTCACCAACCAAGCCCTTAGGTGCTGATGGCATGGGCTGTCTTGCTCTGGAAGGGTCTGTCCTTCCGTGGGGAGATTGACAATCACCAGCTGGTCCTTGAGGTTTGTGGTCCTGCACTAGGAAGCAAGGAGGACTGGGACTTGCTGTGGGCAACATTAGGGGCAATCAGCAGGATCTGAACTTGCTAACAGTGGCTCCATCACTAAGACACTTACTTATCTTTTACACGCACTGAACATATGGGAATGAACCTTACTCCAGCATATTTACTCATTTTGATCATTTTTCTAACTCTAGCAAAATGTAAGCATATAATAACTCCATTATAAATAAGCCTGCATAACAAATATGTGGGCGTGTGATTATACATATCAGCTCCTAACATCTCAGGAATCAAATTATTAACCTCAGGCTAAAGAAACAGCTCAATTGGTAAAGAGATGGCCTTAAAAGTACAACAACCTGAGTTTGGTCTCCAGAACCCTCATATGAAAGTAGGGCATGATGGCACACACTTCTAAGCTCAAAGCAGAAGAAGCAGAAACAAGCAGGTTCCTGCTGCTTGCTGGCCTACCTGGCTTAACCTAATTGGTGATCTTCAGGCCAATGAGAGACTGTCTCAGGAAACATGGTGGCTGGTTCCTGAAGAACAACAAGCATGTAAGGTTGACTTCCAGCCTCCATATTCACATGTGTTGGCATGCACGTGCACCCAAATGAACATGTACACACACACACACACACACACACACACACACACACACACACACACACTGCTAAATACTTTGGTAAATTAATTATGCATTAATAAAATGTTGAGATATTGGAAGAAATTCTTTATTTTAACAGAATTAAATATATAGAACATCTCATATACAATATAATATTTATCATATATATTCCTCTTAAAACGTATATGCTATGTAACTCACAAGAATATAGCAGAGGCAGTAGAGGTACAGGGAGGCATTTTTCAGGATGCACACGCTCCAGTTCAGCTATTATTGAAGCTATAAATTCAGAAGGAGAAACTTGTGCCCCACAAAATTTTCAGAGCACCAGCGTCTAGACTAGGAAGGACTCCATATACCTTCAGTATTTATAGAAATCCGAGATGCTTCATTTTTCTTTCATATTTGAGTTAGATTTTATCCTGCAGACTTATGTCTCTCTTGTGCAGGGAACTTAGAGTATTACAGAAAAAAATAATTTACAAAGAGTGCTACACAATATTGCTGGTTGTCTCTCAGAAGATTGAAATATCCATTTAAGAGACAGCATAATCAGCCCTAAACGATGCCTAGCTCAGGGCACATGGGTCACACAAGCCAGCACCAATGAGAATGCAAAATCTCAGACAGTTCTGTCCCTTGCCAGCCCTGTGACTTCCAGTGCCTGCTCTCCTTCATGACTCATTTCCTAGTCTTTTTAGTGGGAAATTGTGACTAAAGTTAACTGAACATAACAGCAAATGGCTGTTAAAATTCTGTTTATTTAGGGGCATTAGTGTCATTTTTATAAAGTTGACTCCAGGAACTGACAAACACATCTTCAGTCCAAATATTAAAACAAACCCAGGGAATAAGGCGCTGAATATTTCCCTTACCATTTTTAGGGATACATCTCCCCTCCACGTATGCAGGGAAGACTGACATAAAGTGTCTTAGATTCTCCATATCAGTCTAGGGCCTGCCTGTTGCTGGGAACTGCTAGTCTCTCCTCTTTATCTGGAACCACATCCTGTAAAATTAAACCCAGCTGCTATTTTCACCCATAGTTCTTCTGAATACCAGGAGATACCAAATACTCACTAGACAGGTACCTGTTCAGACAGAGAAAGCCCTTGATTATTGGAGGGGGGACTCATATATCTGATTTTAGTGTAAACAGACAGTGGAACACTTATAGCAACAGTAAAAAAAAAATTACAAAAGCAAAGACTTGGTGACGTTGCCTGTTGGGTACACTTGGGGACTCATGCTTAGATGTCAACCCAGAACAGAAGGATGAGGACCCAAAAGCTCACAAAGAAAGAGGTCAACCAAGGAGACGAGAAGCCCTTTTTAGATATCATGTGTGCACTTAGTGTGGGTGACCTCAGTAACAAAGAAGAGCTGGTTAGTGAAGAACATGTCAAAAGTGGAGTCAGGGTGGAGAAGACAACCAAGCAGATTGTCTCCATCATCTCACAGGGATCTGTAGCAAGCTTTGTTGTCAGTCGCCAGCTCACAAATAATGACACGGAGACTTCTTATTAGTTATGAAAGCTTGGCCTTAGCTTAGGATTGTCCCATTAGCTCTAATAACTTAAATTAACCCATTTATGTTAATCTACATTTTGCCTCATGGCTTTTTACCTTTCTTTCATTCTGTATGTCTGACTTCCTCCATGTCTTGTTGGCATCTCCCACATGCCTAGATTCATCTCCTTCCTTTCTCTCTGCCTGGAAGTCCCGCCTACACCTCCCATCTAGCGATTGGACATTCAACTTTTTATTAAACCAATCACAGTAACATATCTTCATACAGTGTACAAATATCCCACAATAGGGACCCCTGGAGTGTGGACTGTTGTGCCCCATGGAGAATGTATGGAGCATGGTTTGATATTGATAGATTCTTTGGATTTGTCTCTGCTTCTGTTCGTCACCATTCTCTAGGCACCACAGTATTTTTAGCTTCATTCTGGGTCTTTCTGCCAAACAATAAACCAAAGTGTCTTAGGATAAAGTTGACAAAACTATGAATGGCCATGAATTGCCATGGCTAGAGAGAGGCCACACTATTAGGACCTCTGCACGGAGGCAATGCTTTTGGTAATTACTCTATTGTAGTTTGGATATGAAATGCTTTATAAAAGCTCATGTTTTAAAAAGCTTGAGCCCCAGCCACTGGTGACATTGAGAAGTGATTGACTTACAGGGGTGCTGTCCATCAATTTGTTAATGCCTTGAGTTCTAGTCGAATGGGCTATTAGAGGGTGCAGATGTATTGAGTCACTGGGGGTTTTCTTCTGAAGGTATACCTTTATCACAGGCCAGAGTAAACATTTTTGGTTTCTTACCGCCTCAGGTATTTAATCATGGTGACAGACGTGACCAGCACATACACCTTGGAAGAATTGGGTCCATTCAGGTCTCCATCACTATTGCAGGTGCTGTGGGGAAGGATGACCATGGCCCATGCCACAGAGCTCTTCTGAGAGCAGGTAGGGGCTATAAGACACACTGTCATGGAAAGGACTTTCTCCCCGATCTCTTGTTCCCTTATGTCTGGGAACTTCAGACTTATACACAAGATGAATATGAGAAAGAAAGGCTCACTGAAAGTTGATGTCTTTTGGTAGACAGCATCTTTAGACAGGTTTTTTGTTGTTGTTGAGTCAGGGTCTCACTATGTTGCCCTGGAACACACTATGAAGAGCAGGCTGACCTCAAATTTACAGAGATTTTCCTGTCTCTGCCTCCCAGTTACTAGGAGTAAAGGCATCCATAAGAATGTCCAGGAAGGGGGCACCCAGGCAGGGAGATCGGGATCTGTCCCTGGTCTATGGGTAGGCTTCTGAAATCCGGTACCTGTGGTGTGACACCTTGCACAGCCTTGGTGCAATGGGAAGGGGCTTGGACTTGCCTAGGCTCAGTGTCCTGGGCTCTGCTGACTCCCCATGGGAGACCTCGATTTGGGGGATGTGGGAATGTGGGGTGGCTTGGGAGAGAGGGCTGGGGGATGGGAGGAGGGAGGAGGGGGGTCTGTGGATAGCATGTGGAGTGAGTAGAAATTTTCTTAATAAAGAAAAATGAAAAACAAAAACAAAAAAATTCTAAAAAAAGAGAATGCCCAGGAAGACTGATCTTTATGGAATGCAGAGCTTGAATTTCTTTGCTAAAGGCGTGGCCATTCACTATGTGTTTCTTGGAACTAACAATCCAGTCTTCATAAGCATTTTTGCTTATGAATAGATTCTGGACACTGCTTTATTCATATACCGTGTATAGTATGAACCCAATCTTTGAAAGATCCTTATAGTTACAAAGGGGCTTGACATAAAGCTCCAGTTCCTCCTGACCTATACACATTCGTGAAAGTCTTAGGATGACCTCCACAGTACCTCTTTTGTGGGGATTGAGGATCAGTTTCCATATAAAGTTATAACATCCTGGTAGCATAAAATAGACTTAGCACCAATTTCAGCAAATCTTTGGATTCTACTTTCACAAAAGTCAAGCATATGGTAACCATCACAAAGAGCGTGACCCTTGGATCCACACATCCTTCATGGGACATCATGCCTCAGGACCCAGAAGAGTTTAAGGCCAGCATAAGAAGTCAGCTACACAAAGTATTCAGTTTGTGTCCAAAGGTAAACTTGGTTGTGAACCCAGAGTTTACATTAATTAGAAAAAAACCTGGGGTTAAGAAGTGGAACCAACAACTAGTTGATAGTGAGTAATCATAGAGAGTCATAGGGTGTCTATAAGACTATAGAGGGATGCACAGGAAGTAGGGAGGGACTGTCAGTGTGGCCGGCTTTTTTGGTTTGGATGTACAGGAACTCAGACCGCGCCAGGTGCTCCCGCCAGTGTCCACTAGGCGACGCTGCAGGCGGCGGAGTCAGAGAGGCAACCGGAAGTCAGGCTGGCGGCTCCAGGCGCCTTCCGACTCCTCCTGCTTCCGCTGGTGGTGCAGGACGGCGCCCTGTTCCTGCAGTTTGCCCCTCTGTCGTCGCCATGCCGCTGGAAAACCTAGAGGAAGAGGGTCTGCCCAAGAACCCCGACCTGCGCATCGCGCAGCTGCGTTTCCTGCTCAGCCTGCCCGAGCACCGCGGGAACGCGGCGGTGCGCGAGGAGCTGATGGCGGCCGTCCGGGAAAACAGTGAGGCCCGGGAGCGCCGAGTCAGCGGCCTAGGCCGGGGCGGTCCGGGTGGCCGGGCTGGGCGTCTCCCGTTGGGGCTTTTCGGGGAACCCTAGGGCGCCCTCCTAGTGCCGAGAGGGTCCTGCCTCAGTGGTTCCTGCTGCGGGCTGCTCAGGGAAAGCCTCTGGTGCTTGTCGGGTTAGGCTCCCAGCAGAGGCTCGGCGGGTTTTGTTTGACAGTTTCTGTCAGTGTTGCGTTCCCTGTCAAGGGACAAGTGGGTTCTGTCCCTAGCAGTACATGTCGAATATGTGTCCTGTCCCTGACATAGTGACTCCTTTGGAACAGGAGCTGGATAGAACAAACTGAGGATTTCACTCCCTGCGTGTTTAGGAGAGATCGGCCTTCAAGCAGGCCTCTCACTTGCAAAACCTTAGCAGTGTTATCCCAGGCCCACAGTTGGTAGGCATCTGCTGGCTGACCTTTGGTGGGATGGGAAGGAGCAGGCAGACACTGATAAGCGGCCTCACGATGCACGATTTGTGGCTTTTAGATATGGCTCCTTATTATGAAGCCTTGTGCAAATCCCTCGACTGGCAGATGGACATGGATCTCCTCAGTAAAATGAAGAAGGCAAATGAAGAGGAGTTGAAACGCTTGGATGAGGAGCTGGAGGATGCAGAGAAGAATCTGGGAGAGAGTGAAATTCGAGACGCAATGATGGCCAAAGCGGAGTACCTCTGTCAGATAGGTGACAAGGTCCGTGGAGACACTCCTCTCGGGAGGTATAGACTGCTGTTGGGGACCAGCGCAGATGGGTAGTATTTCACTGAATAGATGAACTTTTTTGTTGTTGTTTTTTCAAGACAGGGTTTGTCTGTGCTGGAACTCACTCTGCAGACCAGGCTGGCCATGAACTGACAGAGATCTGCCTGCCTCTGCCTCCTGAGTGCTTAAAGGAGTGGGCCACCACCGCCTGGCAACCCTCTTTAAAAGGATAATCATGTTTATCTGTACTAAGGAGTCAGTATAAAGACAGTAAATGCATGATAATGTTGCAGCACCGGATTCCCTGCTCTCACCAGTAGCCAGGTGTACATTACTTCTCATTTCTGTATCATTAAAAACAAGTGCACATGGGGCTAGAGGGATGGCTCAGTGGTTTAAGACTGTGTGCTGTCTGGCAGAGGACATGAGTTCAGTTCCTAGCACCCACATCAAGAGGTTCGCAACTCCAGCTCCAAGGGATCTGATGCCTTTAGCCTCCGAGGGCACCTGCACTCATGTGCACACCCCCCCAGACAGACAGAAACACAGACTTGAAAATAATAAAAATAAATCTCCAAAACAAAACAAGTGTACAGCCAGAGGTTTTGGTCACTCCTTTCACAGCATTGGGGTCATTAGCAGTAGTTCGCTTGTTTGGTTGGGAAGCATTTTATCATAAATTTTAAAAGGTGTACAGTAGGGGGATGGCGAGATGGCTCGGGTTGAGAGCCTTGGTTGCTCTTACAGCCGACCCAGGTTTGATTCCCAGCATCCACAGGACAGCTTCCAGCCCACTTTAATTCCAGTTCAGGAAACCCCACACCATCCTCTGACCACCGCTGGCATCAACCAGGCAAGCATCGTGTACAGATATGCATATAGGCAAACACTCATACACATAAATCTAAAACCTTCACTAATATTTTCCGTTCAAGGAGCTATGACAACAGATGCTGCAGTCTGACTTTTCTTATTCTCCACCTTGAGAGAGAAGCTCTTTCAGTGTGCAGTTATTCACATGTGTGTGCACGTCTTGTAGAAAATGAGTAGTGAACACTTTATGTACTTGAGACCACAGTATGTTCCAGGAGTCCTCTGCATCCTTTCATCTGTCACTGCATTTGAGAGAACTTAATTAACATTCTGGTCCACTACTGCCTAATCCACTGTAGAGTAGGTCGTCTGTTGTTACAAGACACACACACTGTTTCAGCTGCCTTTGGTTTAAGCAAACAGATTGCTGTAGTGAACAACTTTTCACATGTCTTCTCGTGATTAAAGGCTAGTGTTGCTTTAGGATGCTGATTAGTCAGTGAGGTGAAATTGCTGGCATAGTGAGCATTTATTTTCCTATGTTTGGCCAGTTAGTCTACATAATCCTAGTGTTGGATCCACTCTTTAGTATTTAGATGTAGGGTGACATGGTTCCAATATTTAAAAACAGTGTGAGTTCTTGGATAAGTTTTCTTGGCCGTGTTTCTAGCTTGAGTATCATTATTTACTGCACCTTCAGTTTTCTTGGGTAAAATAGGATGTGTTTCCGCCTAATGCTGATTAAAGAGAGAGGCAGAGAGTTTAGAATTGCACTCGCTCAAAGGAAGGGCTTAAATTAGAAGCTATTGAATTTAAATTGAAAACATCTGGTTTTTAAGTTTAGTACTTGTTCATTTTAAAAACTTGGAAATACAGAAAAAATTAAAAACATTGTATGGTTTTGTTTCAAAGATTAATCAGTATTATATGTGAATGAGAGATTTGAAGGTTTTGACTCAGGTCTTGAATTTAATCAAGATTATGGGTGAGGCAGCATCAGGTGATTATGGTTGTATACTGATGCTATATTCCTTCCATGTTGATTCAGCAGCATCCTCTCAAAGACAAAGTTCAGTTTTTCTGTTTTGACGTTAAATGTCTAATGGATGCAGTGGGTTTTCTTGTTTATCATCAGTGGTTTTTATGCTGCTTCGTCTGTTGCATCTTTGTCAGTGGATCCCTTTAGCACCGTCCCCTCGTCCTTTTAACTCCATCTGCGCATGTTGGCCTTTCTTTTTGATAGGAGGTGGCATAAACTCACCTGCTGTTTTCATTCACTCTGCAAACTTGCAGTTGTTTCCCCCCAAATCCTGTTCCCTAGTGAGAAACAGAATTACCTATCCAGGTCTGGGTACTCGGTACACTGCTGCTGTTCTGGCAATCCCTTTTATACATTTATAAAGCATGACTAATAACTGAAACAGACTAGCTAGTCACGCTCTGAAAAACACCAAGTATAAACATCTGATTTTATCAGTGTTTTTGTAAAGAGCAGGAACATTTTATTTCAGTTGAGATGAACTTGCTTATGCATGGATGCAATGGTATTTAATATAATCAGTGATATAAGTCTCTTCTTAAAATGATTAATAATTTATAGTGAACTTATTTTGAAGTAGTATAATTGTTAAAGGCAGAAACACAACAGTACCATTGTGCATTACCAGTGCTTTTCATGTCATTCTCAGAGTGAAGTAGCCCCTGGGCATTGTCTACACTTCGTACAGCTGAAGGAACCCCCCTTGGTCCTTACTTCAAGTACAGCAATGACGCTTTCACTACCATCTCATTTCATTTCTACTTCCTAGTTTCCCCAGCCACTCTTGCAGGAAAATCCGGGAAGCTGTTTGTATTGCTAAATTGTGTACTTTTCTCCCCTTTGGTCTTGAATTTGACAGGAGGGAGCTCTGACAGCCTTTCGCAAGACATATGATAAGACTGTGGCCCTGGGTCACCGACTAGATATTGTATTTTACCTCCTAAGGATCGGCCTCTTTTATATGGATAATGACCTCATCACTCGAAACACAGAAAAGGCCAAAAGGTACTTTTAGCAGCGGGTATGACCTGGAGGTTATGGGCTGTTAATAAGTCAGTAGGCCTAAGCTTACCCATTTTGTTTGGTCAAATAGTTGACATTTATGGAAATACTTCAATTAAAATTTTTTTCTTTAAAACAGAAACTTCAAGAATTAACATTATCTGTTTCATTTGTGTTATTTGCTAGCCTAATAGAAGAAGGTGGAGACTGGGACAGGAGAAATAGGCTGAAAGTGTACCAAGGTCTGTACTGTGTGGCTATCCGTGACTTCAAACAGGCTGCAGAGCTCTTTCTTGATACGGTTTCTACATTTACATCCTATGAGCTCATGGACTATAAGACATTTGTGACTTACACTGTTTACGTCAGTATGATTGCGTTAGAAAGACCAGATCTCAGGGAAAAGGTAAAGAATGAAACCATAATATCTGTTTCATGCTTTCCTAATTTAAAAACACAGAAGTCATTAAAATGTGTTTATTGGTTTTATCTTTTGCTTTTTTTTTTTTTAATACCCAGGTCATTAAAGGAGCAGAGATTCTTGAAGTGTTACACAGTCTTCCGGCAGTTCGGCAGTATCTGTTTTCTCTCTATGAATGCCGTTACTCAGTTTTCTTTCAGTCGTTAGGTAAGGATTGATTATCGTCTTCATCTTCTGATCCTGTGGGTAACTAAGCAAAGCTCGAGTTTTCACATGTAAGAGATAACTGCAGGTCTTCTCATCTTCTGCCTGTTTTGCTTAGAGGAATGTCAGCAAACTTGATGTGTATTTATGTATCTCCAAATGTAAATTGATTGTGTGTGTGTGTGTTGTGTGCACATGTGTGCCAAGTGCCATGTAGGAAAGTCAGGACAACTTTCAGGAGTTGCTTCCCTTCCACTGTGTGGGTCCTGGGGATTGAACTCAGGTCATGAGGCTTGGTGGTAGATGTCTTTACCTGCTGCACTAGCTCACTGGTCTGATTTTTCTGTTTTTAAAGTGGCATTTAAAACAATCGAAAAAGAATGCATGACAAAGAGCTGTGTGTTTGGCAAAGCCCCCAACTGTTCGTTGTCTGCCCTGTGATGTGGGAGTTTGCCTGACCTGAGGTTTAGTCTTGAGGAATAAAGCGACTGTGAGCAGATAGTCTAGTACTAGGTGTGTGGTGAAGGATGGAGGGGATTTGGCGTCCCTTGAGACCAAGATGAATCATCACTCCAGTCAAGGATTTTTTTTTTCTTTTTTAAATAATAGCTAGGTCTGTGGATTGAAAACATAATCTGTGGACAGTTCTTATGTTTCTTCCCAGCTCGTTTACAGAGCCCCGTGGGCACCAGTTTGCAACTTTTGGGGACTGTACTCCCTCCTGGCCATTTGGTTTGCTACTGGTGACTAAATTACTAAGATGATAAAGGCATTCTCCTCAAATGATTTCCCTGAAACTGTTCATGACAAATGCTGCTGCTGTTTTATAGGGAAGTGTGTTCTTTCTAGTGAAACTAAATTGATGACTTTGGTAGCTTTTGGATGTTAGGGCTTCAGTCTTTCCCACTCACTCTGTTCTTATCAACCTTTTATTCAAGTAGTTCTGAATGAAAGATTTTAGGTTTAATAAATTTGTACACTTCCCAGGTGTTTTAAATACAGAAAACAATAAAGTTCTTATTTTTCATTTGTACTCATGAACCATATAAAGCTTGTTGAGTTTTGTGAGATTAATTCTTAAATAATCATAGACTAATGTGTTTACACTTCAGCTGCAAAGGCAGGGAGTGTGCTTTTGAGATCCCGTAGTCGTAAGTGACTCTCATGAACCGAGTGCAGTGTTCAACCGACTGGAGTTCTTTAGAGCTCCTTCCTGAGCGTGCATGCCATGTGCCTCAGTTTACTGTCTGATAGACAGTTTCTAAAGTCAACGTAGCCTGTAAAGTAGTCTGGTTTTGAACATGCAGGTAGCACTGCTGTTCCCCTTCTTAGGTGGAGTCGAAGAAATCAAGTGAGTATTAATTTAACACCTGGACCATGCTGCCCCTAGAAAATTGGTGCCACTGTGTGGGCATAGCATTTATACTACTCTCATTTTATAGTATTTGAAAGAAACCATCTCCGCATTTTAATAAAATTTTAGGCAACTTGAGAGAAAAAAGGAATTTATTGGTCCTATGTACCTTACTGTTGGTGAGAGTGTACCACTATCTTAGTGGCTGCTCCTTGTCATCCTGTCTCATTGGACAGAGGACCATCCTTAAGTTTTCAGTTTTGTTCACTTGGTTCCTTAGGAGCATACTCTTTTCTTTGGACCTTCCTTTCAGTGACTGACTGCTTTTCTTGTCCCTGCCTTGCCTCTGTCCTCTTTTAGAAAATATATCTGGATGGCTGTGTGCCCCAGATTCCTGGTTCTAGTCCTCAGCCTTCATCAAATACTAGACCCATGCCTGACCCCTCCTTGATATCTTTGCTTGTCTGATGGGCGCATCCACTTGAACAGTGCCGCAGTATATTTGAACCTCATTCTTTACCCTCTAAAAAACATTAACTGCCAAACAGACTACACCCAAAATGGTTGCTTTTCCTGGGATTTTCAACTTATTCACACCCTTATTCACCTTATTCACCTTGTCTTTACCCTCTTACATTTTTGCAGTCTTTTTTTTTTTTTAAATTTCTGAAATTAGTCACACTTTTCCTGCCTTGGGACTAATGGTTACTAATGCTGCTGTCTAATAATGGTCTTAACTAAGTTTCTCAGTTCTTCCCTGTCTATTGTCCCAGACGAGGGCTTTGTAATCCTGCAGCCACTGCCATTTTCTTTATATGACTTACTAATTTTGTGTCGTCATTTGGGATCCAGAGCAGAAGGATTTTAGTAAGGTAATTTATATTCCTGAGGCTTGCCCATTAGTATCCCGTGTATACTTAACAAAATTTCAATTTTGTTATCAACTTACTCTGTTACATAAGCCTTCTAATTTATTATTTGTCCTCAAACTCTACATTTCTTATAATAGGTTTCATTATAGTTTTGCGACTTCATAAAAATGTCTTTTTTGCTTTTGTCTTTCATTTTTCACTATCCCTGCTGTTTCTGTAATAATTATACATAAAACTACTGAATTTTGCTTGAATACATAAAAAAGTCCCCCAATGGGTATGCCATAATCTGGTGATAGTTCAGTAGTTATGTCTTCGGTGTTGCCCATCCATTGTTGGATGGTGTGAAAGGACAGTGATACATAATGGACTCAGAGCTATTGGACTTCCAGTTTCTTAGGTGAGAAGGAGACTTGTAATTTGTCATCTTATTTCTTGTAGCGATCGTGGAACAGGAAATGAAAAAGGACTGGCTTTTTGCGCCTCATTACCGATACTACGTAAGGGAAATGAGGATTCATGCATACAGCCAGCTGCTGGAATCATATAGGTCTTTAACCCTTGGCTATATGGCAGAAGCATTTGGTGTGGGTGTGGAATTCATTGACCAGTAAGTTTAACATATTATGCATAAAAGCTGCCTTTTAATGTGTGGTTTTCTACATTTTCTGAATTTATACTGCTTCTCTCAGTTTTACGGAAGAAAACAGAGTGAAGACTTCTGAAGTATTATTTTAACAGTGGCATCTGTCCATGTGTCCATGTCCTTAGGATATAGTTTTCAGTGAGATGAGAGAAGCACGGCTTCTCTCATCTGGTGAAATTTGAGTAATTTCACCAGGTTGCAGAGGATCACACTGCACTGTGCTCACAGTGCTGCCCAGATCTTGCTTTGTATTTTGTATTTAGTGGCATTTCCTCTGATAATGTTGGAGTTAGGTTGTTGACAAAATGTGGGACCGGAATCATTGATTCATCAAATACTGAGCTGTTCCTGTTTGGTGCTGTTGTGGATCTCTTCATAATGCACCATTCATGTAAACAAATCAGTACTGGAGTGTAGATAGCACAGCGGGAACTGTCTGCTTCAGATATGACATGCCTAAAGAGAGAAAGTCTGCTCTGACTTGAGAAATGTCAGCCATGTGAAGATCTCCACATATAGAAAAGGAAAAAGAGCAAACACAGCTTAAAGATGGGAGCAAGTTGTACCATAGTTGTGGAATAGCAATCGACTGTGGTCTTACAGTTTAAGGTATAGAGCTTAGATTTTTGAATCTGTGCTATGGGATACCATAGGAGGGTGTTTACATGAGAGCAACATGGTTCCATCCTTTGTCTTCAAAGAGTGAGGGGACCTCGAGAGCAACTGGCTGTCAAGTAGCACACAGAAAATGTTAGTGTGGTTGAAGACGTCTGTGTGCTAGGTGTTGATGTTGATTGTTCATAGTCCACAATGAAAAAGTGATGGCACTTTTCATTTAAACCTCACTATTCTCTTATGTGGCATATATTTTTTAATTATAGTTTATTTTAAGAAAATTAAAAGAAATTCTAAATAGTACAGTGAATTTTCTTGTTACACATTCTGAACCCAAATAACTTCCAGGCAAATTTCAGACGTCAACAGATGTCCCTAAGATATTACTACGCCTTCTTTGGGGTAGAGTCTGTCTTCATTGAGATGTGTAGACCTTAAATAACTCGAAGCCCCTGTGGAGTGCTTCACTCATTTTAGCTTTTCAGATCTCCCTCACCAGTGTAAAGGGCGGTTGCCCACATTTTGCTTTTTTTTTTTTTTCCACTTCTGAAAGAACCTGCTCTGATGTCCAGGTGTGACTGCCACTGCAGGTTGTCAGGTGTGTGTCTCATGGCTGGTGGAAGGAGTGGCTGGTGGAAGGTTCATGAACACAAGGACTAGACCTGCTTTCTGATTTTACTCTGCAACTAAACTACTGTGGCCTTGGTCAGTTTTTCTTTCTTCCTGTCTTTGGCGAGTCAGTCTTATTCTGTAGCCCTAGCTAGCGAGGGACTCATGAGAGCAGCTATCCTGCTGCCATATCCTGAAAGCTGAGGTTACGCTGTCTCCCCCTTTAGTCTCTTTAAAGCCTTCTCTAGGAATAAGGGGACAAAGTGACACTCAACCCAGATGCTTACAGGTGATGCACTGAAGTGACTATGCTTTAAGAGCTGCTGTAGTATTCTTTAAATTGTGTTGAGAAGTGGGTTCAAAGCAGGTTTTGTTTTTCATTTGTGTTCTCAGTATAAGCAAGAGAGGGAGAGAAACTGGATTTTTTGGGAAGGAATAAGCTGCTTTTCCAGTACAGGCAGCTGTTGCATTTGGGGTCAGGGTTTGTTGGTTCTATAAGTTTATTCCTGTCTGAAGTTTTGCTCTGAGCACTCCACCTTGTGGTATTTTATTCTAGTGATGATTCAAGTCTGTAACAAGTCAGGGATGTCGCTGCTGTATATGCGGTAGTTGAAGCTGGAGGAAAGTGAGATCTTGCCTGTAAGACAAGAGTTCAGTTCTTCTGACTGTTCTCGGAAACTAATGGGGAATTGTTTTTCTTTTTCTGAATCAGGGAACTGTCCAGGTTTATTGCTGCTGGAAGACTACACTGCAAAATCGATAAAGTAAATGAAATAGTAGAAACCAACAGGTATACTTATTATCCATCATTTCCTATTGCTGAGAATAGGGGAGTTTAAGTGCCTGTGTATACAAGTAGGTTAGCTCTTGTCATGGAGTCACGTGGCTGCTAAATAATTCATTTTTTCCCTTAACTTTATTTATAGACCTGATAGCAAGAACTGGCAATACCAAGAAACCATCAAGAAAGGAGACTTGCTGCTAAACAGGGTTCAGAAATTGTCCAGAGTAATTAACATGTAAAACTATTTAAAAATGTATTCCCTTACAGATGTTCCTTGAAGCTTTCAAAAATTTCTTCATTGTGTGCCCACTTCAACAGCATCAAATAAATATGCCATTGTTTCTTTGTTTAATTTTTGTTTTCTTAAACATACATGTCTTTAGTACTGGGTCCACTGATGCCATCTGAATTATTAATAAAAAGTGTTCTTAGACTTTTGCCTTCCACAATAGAAAGGCTATAGTCAGACTTACTCGCTACAACTCTGCCTTCTTTATTAATAAATTAGGGAGATAACACAAGCCCATTATCTCTTGGTTTTAGATACTTTTAACCACAACTCCCCAGTGATTCCCACTTAGAACGTAAAATGGAAATTTCTCTTGGCACAGTCTTATTTTAAAAAAGTGGTGCCCCTCTCTAAGAAGCTGGCACTAACTAGATTATAGAATATGACTTACCTGAACAGATAAAGTCCTGTAGAAATATTAGCAAAATGAATCTTTTTTTTTTTTTTTTTAAATAGGAGCACAGTAAGCATGAGGTAATCAAAATTGTGCCTTATCTTCTAAGATACAAAAGCATATAAAGGGGATACAGCTTGGGAAGGGAACTCTCTTCTGTGCGTTACTTGTGTAAGAACATGCAAATTGCTGCCTAACGGAGTGGGGAAACAATGGGGACACTGGACAAAGGGTGACCAGGTTGGACTGAGTGTTTTGCTCTGTCATTGCATTCAGTTGGGAGTGCTCACCAGGCAGAGGCAACAAGATTAGTAAACTTAGAGTAAGGCAGGGGACAGGTATAAGAAAATGGGCCAAAGGAGATTCCTTAAGTTAATGATGAGTATCACCATAAAGAGTCTTGATGGAGGCCAATTATGAGTTTTACCATAAAAAGCAAGGGAGGAAGAGGGAGGGAAGAGGTTTCTGGTGCTTTAAGAACACATTCATTCATAGGAATGATCTATTAATGTATTAATGAAGATACATCATCTCACCTGACTGAAAATAAAATTCAGCATTTCTCCATTAAAAAAAAAAATCTACAGGAATTAATGAGATAGGAAATCAGAGACCCACATTGTAAAAGAGATACTCCATGCCAAAATGTTAGAAGCATGATCTTCAAAGTCAAGACCATGTCCTCAGAAGGAATGGCCACTGGTATGAAGTAAGGGTAACATAGCCGAGTTGTACTTAAAAGGAGTTTCTTGGAGGTGCTGTGGTGGGCAGGAAGGAGGCTTGTTGGATATGCCTAAAGTATTTAAAAATACCAAGTCAAGGATTTCTAAAAGTGCTTATCTTGATAACCTTGATAAATTGCTTATTAGCCTTTTTGTCAAGATTAAGTATAAAATCTGTTTAGTAATGAAAGAATTGAGTCACTGAGTGCAGTTTCTATAAGAACTTACCCTGTTCCTGAGCCTTAAATGGGATGGCTCCAATAATTCCCTCCCTGCTTAGGGAACTCCTTGGAAAAGCAGGCAGTGTATGAACCAGAGGGGATGGAGAACACCAAGAAAATAAGGCCCTCTCAATCAACACAATTAAAGCTCATGAAGTCACAGATACTTAGACAGCATGCTCAGGGCTTGCACAGTTCTGCACCTCTGCATATACATTATGGTTTTCCAGTTTAGTGTTTTTATGGAATGCATGAGCATGCAGTGGGTCTCTGATTCTTGTGCCTTGGGCTTTTTTTCTTCTGTTGTTTTGTCCAATTCTGATGTGTGTGTTTTGTTCTGTCTTACATTTTGTTATCCCTTAGAAACCTGTTTTCTAATGAGACACAGAAAGGCAGTGATCAGGGAGGAGGGAGGAGAGGTAGGGGAAACCCTAATGAAGATGTACTAGGTGAGGAGAAAAAAAAATGTATATCCAGTAAAAGGAAAAAGAGAACGTACCAGGTTCTTTTAAAAGTAGTATAATTTGGTTTATTGACTCAAAGTAAGTCTGAAATGCCAGGTGTTTTTTTTTTTTTTTTTTTTTTTTTCTTTTTTAAATCATGTTTTCCAGCTTGCGCTTGAAATCAGCTTGGCCTGTTGTGGTCACAATTGGCTTTCAAGGTCAGAGAATGCCCTGCCCACATTGTTCTTGCTTAAAATGTGCTCAGTTTTAACTTTTACCTAGTAGCAACAGAAATAATCCAACCTTCAGGGGAAGAAATCAATGCTTTTCTTTTTTTCATAAAACGTAATAAATGTTCATTGAGAAAGAAATATAGGCACTTAAAAGTAGAACTACTTTGGCTGGAGAGATGGCTCAGAGGTTAAGAGCACAGGCCACTCTTCCAGAGGTCCTGAGTTCAATTCCCAGCACGCTCATGGTGGCTCACAACCATCTATAATGAGATCTGATGCCCTCTTCTGGCATGCGGGCATACATGCAGGCAGAACACTGTATACTTAATAAATAAATCTTAAAAAAAAAAGTTCAAGGACATTGTTAGTTACACAGGAAGTTTGAGGCCAATCTGGGCTTCATGATTTAAAAAAAAAAAAAAAAACTACTTTAAAATTATCTTCTAGAACAATGTAGGAATAGTTCTCTGCAAAACAATAAAAACAACATTGTGATTATTTTGTGTTCACAATCTGCATATAACATTTATATACAAAATTGGAGGCCTTATTATATAGTTTAAGATTATAAATTCCAAGTAAACCCTCCAAGTGTCAGCTTAGAGCTGAAAATAAAACGAGAATTCAATATTTTTTCTTTAAAGATTTTTATTTATGTGTATGGATGTATGTACATCTGTGGAATGTATGCCACGTGTATGTGGGTTGTATTCAGGAGGCCAGTAGTAACTGTTAGATTCCCCTGGAATTAGAGTTATAGGAAGTTGTAAGTTCTGAGAACCAAACTTGGGTTCTCTGAAGAATAGTAAATGCTGTTATCCTTGATGGAGCCATCTCTAGCTCCCAACATCTCTGAAATATGGCTATAAGATGTGGGAGAAACAGCTCCCTGTGTACTGTCTGTCTCTACCCAGAGAAATCACTGTGATTCCATTTCGGCATCTATAGAAAGTGGGCTATAATCATGTTCCTCCTGAGGCTTATTTTACACTCAAACCTCAGTTGGATACTTATAGAACCATGCTTCTGTGAAGAATGTTAACAGGCTGCTGCTACACTAGCATTATTACTGAACCAAGTCATCTAGACCAATGTCATGAAACTGACTTAAAAGCTTGCAACACATGTAAATCTGTTATTAAGATTACACAGACTGGTCATTTCCAGCTTTGATATTCTGTCTCTTGGCCTTTTGATTTTAAAACATGCCACTGAAGGGAATTTCCCCACTCATGGCCCTATGTCCCATGGAAAACTAAAACGGAAAGCAAGGGAGGCTTCCTGATGCCACAAAGTTGCATACTGGTTACCTGTAAGTTTCACTGGGCCCTTTAGATATATTCTAAGGAGAGAAAAAAGTATGGCCACCATCTAGACACTAAGAGTTTTCAAGCAACCACACCTAGTCACATTAACCTTGAACTCACAGTTCTATATGGTCTTCATACTCAGATTCTAGATGCGAAATAATGGCCCCTTCTGGCAAATGAGTTTGCTTTCTCTATACTGCACCCATGAAGCTGCAAATCAGCAGCTTCTATCAGAAAAATATTAGCCAAATAATTCTTAACTCTCACCTATGGTAGCTTTAATTTATAGAGTTTGCTTTTTCTAACTTAAGGGTCATTTACAGAATAGAAAAGAAGGAAAAATAAGTAAATAGTAAACTGGTGCAGAGCTAAAACAATGTAGTCTTTAATACTGGTGAATGTTGAATATGTGGCATATCAAAGTATGGTTTTAAGAACAAAATAATACACCACACATACTACTACTGCGTATTTTTCCCAGATACAGTCAGCCACTTCCATGACATAAGACAACGCCATTTCTGTTTTACAGTTCCATTCAGACAGCAGCCACTCGAGTAATCCTATCGCAGCTTCATCCTCTTGTGTACTTCCTTCTCTGTCCCAGGTTGCACATTTCACTTAAAGCTTATCAGTTGGTAGGTTTGGCCAATCTAGAAATCCGATGAACATATAACTAGACCTCAAGGTCTCTGAAAGATTTCCAGAATTATTTCTCCTCTTGCCCTTGGCAGTTCAGAGACCCAGCAGCACTTACCTGGCTCACTGCAGCAGGCTTGCAGTTCACACTGGCCCTAGGAGTCTGTCCTGTCCGCCCGTGTGCCTCCTACCCCAATTCTCTCTCCAGTAGTTACTGGAGCAAACTAGAAGTGATGGAGATAGTTTTAAGGCAAAATATTAATAGTGTTTGAGTCTCCTCCTGAAAAAATCTACTTTGACTGATGGGGAATCATGACACTAAGAGATTCTAGAAGTATCCACTTTGGTCCATGAGCTTTGGCTATATTAAATGAGGATAACAAGGTCCAGTAACTAGCTGTATAAGATCAATATCTTAAACTGCTTACAGCAACAAGAACATCAAGACCTTAGAAGAAAGATTGGAGGAAGAGTAGTTTTTTTTAAATTTCTCTGTATGTAAGAACACGTGTATGTATGCATGCTGTGGTGCATGTATAGTTAGTAGATAGCTTGGAGAAGTCTTAATTTACAATTGTATATTATGGGGATCAAACTCAGGTCTTCAGGATTGGCAGCAAGTGCCTGTACCCACTGAGCCACCTTGCTGCCCCAGGAACCACCTTCTGATTAGGAATTGGGAAGAGTGAAAACAGGCTGACAATGCAGTAAATAGGGAAGTAAGAGTCCAGCATGCCTTTGACTTCCGGGCTGCTCTAAAGACCTAAGTGGCCAGCTGCACAGACCCAGGAAGTGTCTGTAGATTTTAGTGGTTACCTCTAAATCAGTGTCAACTTGCTCCTTATGTTCCTGAGGACAAAGGCTCATGACAGCCAACAATGACAGCTCCATCAGCAGCACCTCCTGTCCAGCAAGTTTCGTGAATAATCTCCCACATTTTCTCACACCTTTGTTCTGTTAGCTCCTTCACAGAATGCATTTCTGCATTTCCACCTGTGAAATCCCATATGCCAAGATCCCAAAACTGCTAACTCTACCCTTGAGATGTTTTTTTTGCCATCCAGGGTCAAGTTACCTTCAAAGAAAGGCAGTAGCAAAGGT